TGTTGGGTTTCATGAAGGAGTTAAACATGAGGAAGTCCGGACAGCGTACGTGCAAGAGAAGATTCGCGAAAACAAGATACAGGTTGACTATGTTTCTACTAAAGATAACATCGCTGACATGTTTACGAAATCTCTCGCGCCCGATACACTTTTGAAGCTCATTAAACTCAGTGGAATGAACGTCCATGATTGGGGGGAATGTGAGAACTAGACGCTTAGCCCTAATTAATCATGTGACAAATGAGACATTAAAGTTCGCACCACTTACCCGGAACCAAATAGCACGACGAGTATATGAAGGGAAGAGAATTCCCTCTAGAGATCTTTTTAGAAGGTCAGTTGACACAAAAGTGGTTTTAGTTTTTCCTAAATAAAGGTTTATTTCCACACGCTAGTACATCATGTCGAATCCGATATCTCAACTGTACCAGTTGGGAACCACTTGTGGACAGGACATTGAGTTGGAATATCCTGTACTCAAGCAGAAATACAAACAGTGATTCCACCAGCATATATCTCCCGGTACACTGCGCCCCACAATTTACGGAAGCACACTTTTCTTCACCCATGTCTTCTGCAAATGGCATCTACTCAGGGGACCCCAATGGAAACTCGTATTTAGCATCCATGCCAGTACCACCCAATCCTACAAATACTGCACCGCCAAGACGACGTACAGCTCGAGACTACCAATTCGGAACGGCAATTGGGGAAGGCTCGTACTCGACTGTGTATCTGGCGGTAGACCTATACAACAACAAGACCTATGCCGTGAAGATGCTCTCAAAAAAGCACATAGTTAAGGAGGGGAAAATCAAGTATGTCAATATCGAGAAGACCACGTTGCACCGTTTGGGAGTCCAGCACCCGGGAATCGTGCAGTTATACTACACATTCCAAGATGAGCTGAGTCTATTCTTTGTCCTCGACTTCGCCGAATATGGCGAGTTGCTCTCGATCATCTCCAAATTCGGCTCGCTTCTGGAACATGTGCTGAAGTTCTACATGCTCCAAATCTTGGACGCTGTCAAGTTCATCCACCTGAAAGGCGTGATTCATCGCGACTTGAAGCCGGAGAATATCTTGGTGGGCTACGATTTCAACTTGAAAATCACTGATTTTGGTGCTGCCAAGCTTTTGGGCGAAGACGAGGATGGGGCTGATGAAAAGATTACCTACGACTCCGTCAATGATCATCCCCAACATGGCCGCCAGGAACGCAAGGGTTCTTTTGTTGGCACAGCAGAATACGTCCCGCCAGAACTTCTCAAGTACAATTCGTGTGGTTTCGAAACTGACATCTGGGCCATAGCTTGCATTCTTTTTCAATTCTTCAACGGAGTCCCTCCCTTCAAAGGAACAACCGAATATTTGACTTTTGAGAAAATCATAAACGTAAATTATTCATACAGGGAGCAAGTGCCACTGGTGGTGAAAGAAATCATTGACAAGATATTAGTCTTTGAGCCTCTGAAGAGACCAACTATTCCCCAGATACAGGCTATGCCATGGTTCAAAAATGTGCCTTGGGATAATAGAGAGTACATTTGGAATCGAAAAGTTCCTAGATTCGAACCATACACTCACACAAACTCCACAATTACAAGCCCGCCTCACTTAAAAACTGGAGCGAATAGAAACTACAACAAGTCGAACTCAAATTATCAATTACACTCCCAGATTCTGAAATTCGACAATTTGGTGCCGTCTTTTGACAGTAAGTCGCTGTACGTACCTGCGACACGCTTGAAAAAGGGGTTTCTGCCTCAAAGTGCAGCTTATCATCAGAGCTCACAGAACATATCCAATTCCTCAAACATACCACCACCCATGAAAAATGAGGTAGGTCAATTCATTCAAGAATCCCATTACAGCACACCCCCTCCACAAGTACGTGGCCAATTTACACAAGAATCCCATTACAACACACCCCCTCCACAAGTACGTGGCCAGTTTGCACAAGACTTCAATTACAACACACCTCCTCCACAAGTACGTGGTCAATTTAGACAAAAGCAAAACCAATCCCCTTTCAAGCAGATGCCTCTGGATCTGCATCGCAGTGATTTTCACATATCATCAAACATGCCAAAAAAGCCCCCGTCTATGCAAATAAGACAATCCCCACAAGTTGCGCAAGATCAGACACCGCAGCAGTCAAATTCATACATTGCTGCGCAACAAGCAACTGCATCTTTGGCTCCGCTTGAAAGATCTCTCGAAGATTCAAAAATATCAGATAAGCCAGCTTCGCCCGATTTCAAAAACTTGAGAACCAATACAGCTTTTGCATCTTTTCAAAAGCCAAGCAGCACAAAGGCTAATATCCCAACAAAAACTCTAAGCTCTGTTCCTGATCAATCGCACGTATCTTCGCGTCAGCATACAAAAGCATTGCCTACCAATCCCACGAAACAACCCAATCCAAGATCCAGAGAGCCTGTGATTGTAACAATCAAAGAAATTACCCCTTTTTTGGATCCAGATGAAAAGATCATCAAGTTAGATTGTGTCTTGAAACTGATCTTGAGCAATAAATTAATCGACAGGAAGCCAGGCAGCCTAGATGACGCAATCATCGAAGAACTCATCGAAACGCATCAATCCATTCTTGACGAAAGGATGACGCCAGTGATTGCTTGTGTTTCAAACAAAGCCAAAGTCTTCCTCATTGACGGAAACTTGGATGTCATGAGAGTGGACTTGACGGCTAATAAAGGCGGTGATTACCTGATGTATGATTATGAATTTGAAAGTGTTATTGTTGACGATGATGACAATAACTTCACGAGCAAGGAGTCCGAGGAAGTTTTCGGCTACCTTATTTTGGAGTTGATAAAAGAGGGAGGGGATCTTATCTTCTTGAAAAGATTGAACGAGGCTGAGAAATCAAAGTATACTACATCCATCAAAGTCATTGGATCAAATGGTGCTGTAATGAAGATTGGCTCGAATTTCGGATGGATCGACTGTCTTATTTGGGCCAAAGAAATGGTTGACAAGAATTTGAGAGGTCGAGTTGTTCAAGAACTGAGCAATAAGATCTTGCCACCCGAAAGACAACCTTCACCATTTAAGAAAAGCTCCAGCCCGAATCCAAGTCGCTCTAGCTCCAGTTCAAAGGCCAAAAGTAAGCCAAAGACAAAAGCTGGTTTGAAAACAAAAAAGAAAGCTTCAAACAGCGAGCAAGGCTCATCAGATTCAAAAACGGCCTACAACAAATTTGCATACGCCGCAGCTGCAGCAGCTCATCGATGAATTCAAAAACAAAGAACTACGCGTGTCCCACAACGAACTTTTTCCTCTATATATATATACATTCATAATATGAGTGTTCATTGAATTATTTACAGGGTTTTTGAATTTCTGGTCACACTCCTAAATGCTTTTAACCAATCTTTATAGTAGCACTTTTCGGAAAACACCTTGGCTGTTTGCTCCCGAACGATAGACTCAACGTTGGCTTCATTTGCTACCCAATTCTCCACACTTACGCAGCGTGAGTACTGGTTATCTAGAATTTCATGAGCATTTTTGAGAGCATAGGGATCAACTCTCAAATCATAGTTCTCATTGATGGTGGACTCTTTTGACTTTGCTTCTGTTCGAAGGCCTCTGGCAAACTCAGCACAGAACAGGATAGCCTCAGATCTTGCTTGCCATTGGGGAACAATTTCTTCGGCAAAATACCTGTCACAATCAGTGGTATTGATTTCGTTTAAATGCTGTCTGATGGTATCATCTGATGCAATCCTGGATAGGCGGAGAAATGCCCGGATTCGGGAGCTCGATTCGCAATTCTCGGGAGTGAGAAGGGAAGATGATGCAGCAGTGGTTCCATTTTCCCTCAGTGTGCCGAGCATCTCAGGAACGGAGTTCTCATTCTCCATGGTAGAGAAGAGCATTCTGGACGGAAAGAGAGCGATGTAGACTTGAGTGACAAGCTGAGAAAAGGTCGTGGAGAAACGCTGGGGTAAATTTAGGACGCTCGTGTTTTAATTGATACGTCTAGCAGTAGTTGTGACAATGCCGTATTGCGATTGAAAGGCTGGGCTCGAGTCCGCTGATTCTTGGTGCAGTAAGATCTGTTCGATTGAAGCGCTTCGCAATTCTCGCCACTGCGACTGGTCGGGTTATGAGCTTACAAGGCCGATCAATCTTGGGGCTCTCAGTTTTGGGCCTGGCATCATGCACGTCCAGTCGGCTTGCGGTGGTTGGGTGCGTAGCCACTGCTCTCAAGTCACACGAGCCCGTGAGAGGTACCATTTTTTTTTTTAAAAAAAAACTGAGCAGCACTGGTTATTAAAAGCTACAATGCTCATAATCCAAAAATTCTAAGTGTTTTTGAAAGGGGAGAAGCTTGCCTCCATTGGACCCAGGTTTGATTGGAACGCTTGGGCTCGCTTCAGTAGGCGCACTAAATCTGGCACCTGGCCCTCTCTCGCACCGCGTGCCCGCTGTCACGCTACAATAGTTCCTATCTGCTCAGGTTTCTCTCTGATCCAGTCGACCATCAAGCCGCGCAAGCACTTTTCTCTGAAGATCCAGAGAACCAAAGGCAAAACCAAACTCGTACCTTTTTGTGCCTTCTTTTGCGGATAAATATTTAAGCTCACATTTTTCGAGACGCAGCACTATGCCCCCCCAAGTGTCGGAGTCAGCCATTAATTATGCCGCCGTCTTGGCCTGGACTGCTCATTTGGACCGTTTGAAATCGTCCTTCGACAAAGTCTCGGAGGATGCTAATCTGCTGATGGAAAGGACCTGCTGGGCAGAAGAGTTATCTATTGGGATCCGTGTGATTCGCAACTATGCCATGCGGACTTTGGCCGACAAGTATCTCTCCGAAGATTCCGTGGAGCTTCCGCCACCTTCGACTCTAGTGCTTCTGGTCTTGAAAGACCTGAAGCAACAACATCCTGCTGTGCCTCCATCCGTGAGTGTCGAGAAAATCCTCGAAAATTTGGACAAGCCGCCCAAGGAGATCAATGCATTGGCACAGGACGCGACAGTCTTTGAAAGGCTTTATGCTGTTCTAAAGAGTGCCGTATCGAGGCTAGTGGACACGACAGAACTCACAGAGCTGGATTTCGATTCCGTGTTGTCGAAATTGCTAGCACAGTATCTTTCCTCTCAAGAGGCCAATTTGACCAGCGCCAACGCATTCGAGGGTCTCGCGTCGGAAACAACTACTTACATGAAAGGAGACTCGCCTTCTCTATGCGAATGGAGGGATGTCTTTCCTATTTTCAAGTCCTTTCTCGAGTTCTTAGTTGAGTTCTCGACAGCCCACCCCTCCTCTGAGGATTCGAATAGATTGCATGTGTCGAAATTTCGGGAGAATGGCAACAATTTAATGACCAACACGTGCTACCCACAGGCAATACAAGTTTACACCGACGCGATTAACATGTGTGATCACACAAGTCGTTCTCATTTGCCGCAACTATTTACAAACAGAGCCATTGCTTTTATTGGTCTTAACTGCTTTCGCGAAGCAGTTTCCGACTTGGGACAAGCGCTCCAAAATGACCAGACATTCGTACCCGCGTGGGCGCAAATGGGCTACTGCCAGTTGTATTTGGGCTCTACCATTATTGCGTTGAAGTGCTACTTGGCAGCGCTTCGTTCTTTGTCGGGAGAGATATACCCATACAACTTCCCGAAAGATGAAACACTGAGAAAGGAGTACACCGACGCAAGAGCTCTGACCGTGATGCCTCAGTTTGTTCAGAAATTAGTCTCGTCGTTCATCCTAGCACTGAAGAGAGCTGAGCAGCAAAGAGAACCAGCTCTGGCCATTCACGAACTTACAGCTAAAGCCAGGGCCATCTTAGCTCGACTCAGGTCGCACGTTGAACCCGAAGATTTGAGGTTTTTGTCTTACTCGCCCGATCCAGATGCAAGCTCTCTCCAAGCGGATGCCGTACGTGCAGATACAATCAGGCCAAGTATCCTAACACCTGATGTGGCACAAGATATCTTATCTAGCTCGAACGTCGAAGCTTCGGCAGTTACAATGTCAAATGTTCCTCGGGCAAGAAGCAATATCCCTGTTCCATTTATCCCATTTAGCGGTCGGAGCCAGAGCACAACCGAGGCTGCTGAAACGGAGACACCAGCTGAATCCCCAATTCTTGCGGGTGTTCCAGGAAACATACGAGGTTTTCTCAACACATTGGGTAATGTGGTGGGGGATGCAATGCAAACATTTCCTCCACCACCTCAGCAACCTCCAGCTGAGCAGAATAGACAAGACACTGATGGTCAGAACTCAACAGAAAATGGCCCCGCTACTACACACGAAGATAGAAACAGTGCCAATAATCCTGATCCTGGCCAAGCAAGCAGCCATATAGCGAGAGCGCTTTCGTCGGTCAGGCAAGCTCTCAGAACGGCCCAATCGAATGCCGAGTCTCCAGCGGGAAATAGGCAGAACACAGGTGGTGGAATGATTGACGCATTGAGACATCAGCAGGCGGCCCTAGAACGAGTGCTTAATACCAGAGGCCCCAATTACCGGCCAAATTTCCCCGCCGGCACGGTTGTTCAAGGGGAAGGTCCCAATCAAGGAAGCATCAACTTGCCACTTGGTTTGAGCAACATCAGGGTTGTGCACTCAAGTCCCCGCGTCCCGACTACCTCTGTTCCTACCCCACCAGCTGCACCTACACCTGGGACTAGTCCCACCTCCCAACAGGGCCCACAAGCTGCAAGTCGAAGGAGCCCAAGCGTAGAAGACACGGAGATGCCCGATGCCCCGGATGTTGACTAGAGAGCCAGCGGGGACTCGCTAATCTGTGAGATTAAGTACATTACCATGGCGCCCGGTTGTGGCTATGTTGTCCAATTCCATAAGCAGTTTTGCGAGGAAGTGGAGGGCAAAACGAACTCAGCAGGAAGAACATTCCTTTTCATACCTACAAATACACCGTGCCCTCTGAACAGTGGCTGTATGATATAGGTGCACTCGACCCAGGTAGCCGTGCGGAGTGATAAAACCCAGACATCCGGAGCAGCTTGCGCCTCCAGCGATAAGATAATCTAGAGCGCCTTGCGGACTCACTGGGAGAACTCCACAAACATGGCCGGTTTAGAACAGTCCCTCTTCCAGCTCAAATTCACAGCCAAGCTGTTGAACAGGCAGGCGTCGAAGGCCGCCAAAGAAGAATTGCAAGAGAAAACCAAAACGAAAAAGGCGTTGATGCAAGGCAACAAGGACATTGCGCAGCTATACGCCCAGAATGCCATAAGAAAATCCAACGAGCGCGTGAATTTGTTGAGATTGGCATCCCGAATCGACGCGGTGGCCTCCAGGGTTCAGACCGCGGTCAGCATGAGGTCGGTCACGGGAAACATGACGACCGTCATCAAGGGCATGGACAAGGCGCTCCAGACCATGAACTTGGAGAGGATCTCGGTGGTCATGGACAAGTTCGAGAATCAGTTCGAGGAATTGGACGCACTGACCAACTACTACGAGTCTGCCACCAATAACGTGAATGCGCTAACGACGCCACAGGAAGACGTGGACGAGTTGATGAGCCAAATTGCCGACGAGGCCGGCATAGAAATGAAGCAGGGGTTGAACGAGACGAAGGTGGACATTGTCAGTCCGCCCTCGGCCGTGAGTGAGGAGAAAGAAGACAGGCTTGCAGAGCGGTTGCGTGCGTTGAGAAATTGAGTGGCCGCCTGGCCAAGGCTGGGCCAGACGTACTTGTGGCGACTCTGCTTGGCGCTACGCTGGATGTGCTACGGCATGGAGAGGGAACTTAAGCAATTGCGAGTTGGGCCCCTGTTTCGGGATTGCTTGTGCATACAGTGCTCGGTGGACCCGAGACGGGTCCGGGGGTCCTTTGAATGCATGGGTTATAGATGCTCATTGGAATAAAAAACAGGGCCCTCTAAGTAAGGGCCCACCAAGAAAAAAAAATTACAGGGCCCACCAAAAAAAACCCAGGGCCCGCCAAAAGCCAGCACGCCCGCTGAAACCCAATAGGCACCATAAAAAAATGCCCAGGCCGGGCCCGTGAACTGTAAAGTAGCGGGTCCGTCTCCGAGAACGGCCTTGGTGCGAATTGGCCCCGAGGCACCGCCGGGCCCGCCGCAACCAACCGTGGTGGTGCGAAAAACCCGGCCCGCGCTGTCCAGAGCAACTCGGCACTGAAATAAGCTTGGAAGCCCAGCAACCCCACTCGGCCATTCGACAGAAATCCGGGGCTTTCGGCACGCTTTTGGGGCGGGCCCGCAGGCCCTGACGGCAGCCGCTGCTTTCCGTGCCCCGCCGCTCGTCCCGTCGGCGAGCCCTTGGGATTATTAATTGACCCCCCATATTTTCGGGGCCGCTCCAGCGCGGAAGCGAACGGCCATGTCCAATGATATCGCCCTGTGCCCGTATTAGTAACGCGGCTCGCAACCCGCACGTCATCTACGTAGTGCACCCAGCACCCCCATCCGCTCGCGGCTGGAGCGGCTCGCACCCAAATAAGCCTGCCCTTTCTTCCTGCTTTGTTTTCCCGACCCCCAGATACAAAGACCCAACCCCCGTTGTTTCTCTTCAAAATGCTTGCTTCCTCCTTCAAGACCGTCGCCCGCCCCGCCAGACTCGCGTCGTCCATTGGCGCCGTCAGAACCAAGGTGTCGTTGCCCGACTTGGACTGGGACTTTGGCGCCTTGGAGCCTCACATCTCCAGCAAGATCAATGAGATCCACTACACCAAGCACCACCAGACCTACGTCACCGGCTACAACCAGGCCATTGAGCAGCACGCGGAGGCCAAGGCCAAGGGCGAGGTCAAGAAAACCATCGAGTTGCAGAAGATGATCAACTTCCACGGCGGCGGCTACACCAACCACTGCTTGTTCTGGAAGAACTTGGCGCCCGCGAAGCAAGGCGGCGGCGAGCCTCCTGCGCCGGAGTCGGCGTTTGCCCAGAAAATCAGCGAGCAGTTCGGCTCCCTCGACAACTTGAAGGCGCTCACCAACAGCAAGTTGGCCGGCATCCAGGGCTCCGGCTGGGCGTTCATCGTCAAGAACAAGGAGAACGGCGGCCAATTGGAGGTCGTCACCACCACCAACCAGGACACCGTCACCGGGCCCCTCGTGCCTTTGGTGGCCATCGACGCCTGGGAGCACGCCTACTACTTGCAGTACCAGAACGTCAAGGCCGACTACTTCAAGGCCATCTGGAACGTCATCAGCTGGAAGGAGGCCGAGAAGAGATACACCGTCAACTAAGTCGCCGTCCGGGAAGCCCCGCACCCGCCCGCGTGCTGATCGGCTCGCAATGTATAGTCTAATATTTATTCTTCGCCACCGCCTCCGCCGTAATCCTGTCTGCCCGTGCTCACACCGAAAACAATGCAGACCCAAGCACCGACGCGGCCTGTCGCGCGTCCATGCTCTCTTCGTCACCTAGCTCTCGGACACGTAGCCTTTCCAGCTCCTCTGCATTCTCGGTAGATAGACTGCGGAACGTTCTCGACGACCACGCGTCGCCCATCTCCGCCTGGGACTGGTGCAAATTGTGCTTCATCTGCGTCAAGTTGTCCCTGTTTAGCCGCGACAACCCCCCGTTGGCATCAATGATTCGCACGTCGACACGGATGTTCTCCAAGTGCTTGAGGAGTTTGCGGTGCTGGTCAATGCGAGCCAACGAGAACAACTTGAGGGTTCTCTGGAACTTCTTCTCGTAGAAGCCAATGGCCTCTTTCCGCTCAAACATCATCTCTCCCAGGATCCTTTTCACTTGCATGTTTAGACTTTCTTCTGCCTTGGTCGCCAATTCGAGAGAACTCAAGGCCTCGTCCACTTTGATCGGGTCGAGCGAAGACTTGTTTTTGATCTTTGTCGCGTTGAGATGCTTGCTCCTGGTTTCAGCTTGGGCCTGGAGAAGCTCTCTCATGATCAAGTGCCTGTTGGTGAGGGCCTCCTTTATCTCGTAGAGGTTGTCGACCAACGCCTGTGTGCCGTCTCCCAAGGACCCCATATCGCTGATCAGTTGGAGTAAAGCAAGCTCAGATTGGATGTGTGCTACATTCGAGAGCTTTTCCCACATATTCTTCATGCCCGGGTGCACGGTCTCGAACTGGGCAAGCCCCTTGAGTTTGGTACTCAACTCCGCAATGAACGATGCTAGCTGCTTGTAGTTTCGCTGGTTCTTCTCCAAAGCTTTGTGCAACTTCATGCCGGAGGTGTAGGCAGATTTGATCATCGGCCGGAACTCAGCTAGCTCTTGGTACGGGTCGTAAGGTACAGCCAACTGTTTCAAGGTTTTCCTCAAGAACCCACTGGCCACGGTGGACTTCCGGTTCGAGTTTATGACAGTGTAACCAAAGTCATTTTCAATGAAGTAGACAAACTCCTCGTCCCGGACAAGAATCGGGTTGTGGGTCACGCGGTTCATCCATTCTTGCCACACGTACATCAATTGCTTTTTTTCGTCGTCCCCACCGGTGGGGTACGACGTGCGGGCCAGTGGGATCACCGGCACGAAAACCTCGAGGTTTGAAACCAGCAAGTATTTGTTGAAGGCCAAAACCTCGCTGTATGTTCTGCGGATACTGGTGTATTCCTTTTGTCTGTATTTCAGCAAGCCATTCACGGTTGCGTCGAAGCGCAAGATTGGATTCCCAGGCTTGTTTTCTTCAATGGCACGTAGCTTGAGTTTGATTGTGTATTTGTCGTTGAAGCGTTCAGGGATCAACCTCATCAATTCCTCTTTTACCAATTCGCCCGTGGATGCTTGCGTTGCGCCTGATTTGTTTGACGAGCCGCCTGATCCTTTCAGACCATCAGCGCTCCGTATAAGCCTATTAGAGGCGTTATCCTGGTCATTGGGATCATTTTCACATGATTCAAAATCACCTTGTGCACTGCTAAAGTGGGCCACAGAACTTGTCACGTCAGCACTTCCACTGCCATAATCTGACTTGACAAGTGGTGGGGAGTGCTCGGGCTCTGCAAAAGGATTGTTATTTTCGAAATCATCGGGATCGTAAGAAGCAGCTGACGCCATTATAGGGTTCGAAGTCTAGTGGGTTATTGGAAGAAAAGTCTGGTTGGGCCTGAGGATGTGGTTTTGGTGCTGGTGCCAGAGTTATGTGGAGGCACCACAGCCGGTTCAAGTCCGCGCAAGAGCCTAATCTAAGCCCTCACACGGAGGCCCTACAATCGAAGAAGTATGTTTATCTGGCATCTGCTGATTGTAGATTTGGTTTAGTAGAAATCTTGTTTAGACAATGTGCATAGTATTTTTTGTCATACATTGTCGTGAACTATAGAAAGCTAGCGCATCGAGGAAGGCTGGCCTTGCCATTAGCCATTCCTTCCCGACCTTTTATTGTTTAGCAAGATCATTATATTAAATCCACTGGAATCAACAAAGTCCAGTGACTTAACAACAAGGCATTCTTCGAGACCCAGGTTACAAATATCAGATGGTTAAGGCTTTCACGCTCTGCGGTGAACGCAGCTCCCTCCATACTGACCGTCAGTAGCAAACAATCCAAGTCGGCGAGGTATGGAAAAGATACATTGTTAAAGATTGAGGAGACAAATAACCCGCCAGTGGCTTGCGTATTCAGTCTTCTTTCAGTGAAATTTGCTCAAAGCCTCTCTTCCGCCATAACAGACGTACTCTTAACAATGTTGTAGCCCCAGAAACCAATAACATTCAACACACCGACTCTCCACCCTTTAAACAACCCAAGAGACTTGACACGGCCCCACACGCCAACCTTTTCGTCTTTATCGAGATGCGGATGCTTCAGGTCCCAGCCATTGAAGTCCACGATTAGATTCTTCTCTGGGTCGTCAATAGTTACAACCCGGTACTCGTCCTCCTGGCGCGTCTTGGGTCTTAACAAGAACTTCACTTGCTCCTTGCGGAGAAGGTTTTCGACTGGCAATTTGATAAAGAACTCGGTGATCAGAAGAACCAAATTGGCTAAAGTGAACAAGTTGGGGGACAGGTAAGAGTCAATGTTGTACCGCACAAACAAGAAATATGGAGCAGACTTCCGGAAGACTATTGTGGATATCTGGTACAAAACTGTCAAGATCGTGATGGGTAGTGGAGGGCGCATAAGAAGATGTGCTGGATAGTGTCGAAGAGAATCCCTGACTGATCTGAGATTTATCAGCTTAGTTTTTTCCTCGGTGTCCAGAGCGCTTGGTTCAGGACTCGAGGATGTACACTCTTCCCCAGCTTCTCCTTGCGAATCCGAATCTTCTGCGTTATCGGTAGACACGGCGATGACAGTATCAAAGGATGTGATCATGAAACGAACCTTAATCAAGTCTAAGGGCATCAAAATGATACCAGTTAACACACAGGCCAGGACAGAAAGCCAAAGCGATCTCGCAGGTTCAGTTGAATGAGTCAAATCCAAAAAGAACGGGTCGGGTATGTTCAAGAATGGCGAGAGAAAACCGGTGATCCACGCCTCGATGGTGTGGGACAACGTGTAGTGTATGAACAGAGCATTCACTCCACGGAAGAGAGCAAAGGGACCGTCCTTTGCTGCAATCGCAGATAGGATATCAACTGTATGCTGCGAGATTGGGTGGATTTTGTACGGGTTCTTTTCGTGTCTGCATCTTTCTGAGGTGGGCCTGCGGCGTCGGTTTTTCAGAGCCACGTCGTTATTCTGTTGAGGCAGAGAAGGCGGGAAGAAGTCGATCTCTTCGTCGTCGTACAAGCTGTCATCGATTACACTGTCGTATTTGTTCTCGCTTGGGGCATTGCGGGGGCCCTTGCCGCCCTGTGGCGAGCTTTGAGTCTCCAGGTCTTGGGAAAACTTGAAGTAGCCAACTTGCAATGTCAAGCGCACAATGTCAAGTGGCTGAGAGAGGAGCACACGGCAGTAGTTCTTGAAGAAGCTCCACACCAAGTTTCTGAGCAACTCCAGCAAGTTGTTGAGATCCAAGTACTCGGAAAGCTCCAAGTCATTGATGTAATTTATGTCTGAGGAGGGGACGACACGATCCGGCCTCAGGCCGATGGATGTGCGGGCTCCACCATAGCCACCAATGCCCAAGTTCCCCAGCAATAAGTTTGGCCGGGTTCCTGTCGATCCGTACGTAAACGACGACGTTATTTCTTTTTGGGTCGTGGTGTCTATTAGGCCCACTCCGGGCTTGTATATGACCAGATATCCAGCGTTGAAGGTGTCGTGGTCATAGTAGGGGCGCAATTTGCTATCTCCGGGCATGTCTCAGTCTATACTCAATACGGGGGCTTCGTAGCCTGTGTTGCACGGTTTCGAGGGTGCAAGAGTTCGACTTGAAATCAAGGGCCTCAAAAATGTCAGCAATTGAGGACAAGCAACTGAGTCTGGTTATTTCGTGATCGTCGGAGTATTGCAGAGGGTTCACAAGGGATTTTTGTTGCACCACGAGAACTTTGCGGATGTGCAGGGCAGGATGTGACCAGGCTACAGAGGCAACCTCCAAAGTCTGCTGTTAAATGGTATTATTGATAATTTTCTGCGCTTTAAGATCCTGCCTTTTGACTTTCATGGTCATTCTAGAAAAATTAGTTATGCAGACGCAAAGATGAAGGAGCACGGTTATATCCCGTCATTCGTAGTGATGAATGGGCAGGGTCGCTCACTGCTACCACTCCCCCACAGTGATGCTCACGCAACTGATACCAGGTGCCAAAAAGAGACGTGAAAAGAAAAAAAAGATTGTATGATTTTCTGAATGAATAGACGTGAGCTTTTGGTGGATTTTGCTCTGGAGTCAGAGCCTTACCAAGCGTAGGAAAACAGGCTCCTAATGAGCATTCGAGACGCTAGATGCAAATTCAAGACTACTAGATATATAGAGGAAGTCAAAAAAAAAAACAAGCTCATTTGAATACGAGACAGCTTAGTCTTGGTTCCGAATGGTCATGATTGGTATCAGCATATGGCTTACCATCTGATGTTATCGAAAACCCTCCAGTTACTGTAACCACCATCTAAATTTACACCGTCAATACTTCAACACCGACAGAACCTGCATGTATGTATGGGCAAGATAAACCTACTCATTTGGCAGCAATTGCTGCGAATGCAACTCTCGAGTTCATAGAGCATGCTGCTATTACATTCTACTGACCCAAGCATGAGTGGGCGAAAGCTTTGGGTGTGCACGGCACCTCCTCTTTTCCAAGAAAATACTCCACCACAGCCGGCTCTTCGTTTCGGCCAGCACTGCACACAGGCCCGAATCCAGACCCGCACTCCAACTGCGCTCCCGTAGGAGGCTTTTCGTTGTCTCGCGTTTCGTGACTTCTTAGCAGATACTCTTTTCTTCACGGAATTTCTTGCGTAGAGCTTTTTTCATTTCCACCGCGCCATTCCTTGCACCACTCATAGAGCGGTATTTGCACAGACACATCAGGGTGAATCTCTACTACCACGCATCTACTGGTCGAACACATTGCAACAGCCGGAGATCGAATAAAAAAACCAGGACAATTAGATCTCGGTAAAACGCCCCACCATGAACTCGAATTTCCTGGGCCAAAACTCTCCTTTTGTCAGTAGTCAGTTACGCCTGGACCCACGAGGCCCTGTGCCGCCATTCAAGACGCTCAGCATCCCGGAACTAACTCCGATAGGAGGTAGTGATTCGCCTGTTGCCGACGAAGATAGTTTTATGGACGAAGACACCAATAACAACACGTTTGTTGAAGCCGATGCGCCGTCTGTATGGGCACAGTCAAGCTCGCCGATTCGCGCTTCGAACAACGAGCACTCGCTTTTCCAGCAGCCTTCGTTTCCGCTTTCACCCACGTTTTCAGCAGGAAATGCCTTTGATTCTGAGGACCGCGCCAAATTCAGCCTGATTGACAGCAACAACTCTTTAGGATTCCGCCCGCCAAACGCTTTTACAACCCTCAATAACTCCAGCAACACGAACTTGTCCGAGGCTACCCATCTGAATGCGTCTGGCGCAAACTCTTTGCATGATGCGTTGGCGTTCAACGGTGACAACCATAGTTTGGGAAATTTTCAGGGCACTCCTCCTCCGGTGCAGCCATCTTCGTACCTGCCTGCTCAATACAACGACTTTGCGTTTGAGCAACAACAACAACAACAACAACAACAACAACAACAACAACAGCAGCAGCAGCAGCAGCAAATTCACCAGCAACGGTTGCATCAGGAGCGTGAGTTTCGGGAACAGCAAGCTGCAGAACAGCGCTATCTTCAGCAAGCCGAGTCTCACGAAATCTTGCGGCAACAGCAGCAGACAACCACACAAAGACCCATTGCGAATAATAATGGCTGTCTGCAGCCTCAAACACTTCAGACTACATCTCAATTTGCTCAGCCTCCGTCCTACAAAATGCGTACCAAAGGACCAGAGGTTCCACGCACGCCTCCATCTCAAGTATCCGGAGCCGGCTTTGAAAACTCGTCCAGAAACCCCAATTACGTCTACTTTGCAAGACAACCGAATTTGTTGAGCAGGGTAACACAAGACAAGGCTGCTGGTATCAAGTTAAAGTTGGAAAACGCCTATCAAATGTCTGTGAGCCACGCTATTGAGAGAAATCAGCGTCGCTTGGAGTTAGAAAGCAAACTAGCCAACGAAGAGGCGGGAATGAGTGAAGAACGCAAAAACAGACAGTTGCAGAACCTCGGAAAGAAGGAATCCCAGTTTTTGCGTCTTAGGAGAACAAGATTGTCCTTAGAAGATTTCACTACGGTGAAAGTCATTGGAAAGGGTGCGTTTGGTGAAGTCCGCTTAGTTCAAAAGCGTGATACTGGTAAGATATATGCGATGAAAACGCTTCTCAAGGCTGAAATGTACAAAAAAGACCAGTTGGCTCATGTGAAAGCCGAAAGAGATGTTTTGGCTGGAAGCGACTCACCCTGGGTGGTCTCTTTGTACTATTCCTTCCAAGATGCTGTCAACTTGTATCTTATCATGGAGTTTTTACCAGGTGGTGATTTGATGACCATGTTGATCAGGTGGCAAATTTTCACTGAAGACATTACCAGGTTTTACATGGCAGAGTGTGTCTTAGCCATTGAAGCTATCCACAATCTTGGTTTCATCCATCGTGATGTGAAGCCAGACAACATTTTGATAGACATTCGTGGGCACATCAAGCTTTCTGATTTTGGGTTGTCTACAGGTTTTCATAAAACTCATGACTCCAGCTATTACAAAAAATTGCTAGAGAAAGAAAACCAGACCCAAAATAACTTGGCAGTTCCAAGCAAAAGCGGACAAAGAAACTCAATGATGGTGGATGCTATAAATTTGACAATGTCTAACAGGCAGCAGATGCAGACCTGGAGAAACTCCAGAAGGCTTATGGCATACTCTACCGTTGGCACACCTGACTATATTGCGCCTGAAATTTTCATCCATCAAGGCTACGGCCAAGAATGCGACTGGTGGTCCTTGGGTGCCATCATGTTTGAATGTTTGATCGGGTGGCCGCCATTTTGTTCTGAAACACCTCATGAGACATACAAAAAGATCATCAGTTGGCAAGAATCTTTGGTTCTTCCTGAAGATATTCACATATCGCCCGAGGCTGAAGACTTGATACGCAGCTTGTTGACCAGCAGTGATAGACGATTGGGCCGCAACGGCGGCGCCAATGAAATCAAGCAACATCCGTTCTTTCGCGGTGTTGATTGGGAAACGATACGTAGAGTGGATGCTCCTTTTATTCCAAAGTTGCGGTCAATCACAGACACTCGATTCTTCCCCACGGATGAATTGGAAAACGTTCCGGATAGCCCAGCAATGAGCCGTGCGCACCAGCAGCAGCAACAACAGGGAGGGGGAGAAAACGTTAAGGAAGACCTTCCATTCATTGGCTACACCTATTCTCGGTTCGATTATTTGACCCGAAAAAATGCGTTGTAACTGTGGTTGATCTTTGTATGAGACCGAAAATCATACATCGTCAAGTCAAATGTCACCCCTGATTTATTTGCTGTTGTTGATCACAGCGGTTGGAGTTGTCTCGTGTTGGCTTGCTAAATAGAAACGAACATAAATATGAGAGTCACTATGAATAAACTTTTCTTGGATGGACTTTCTGACGTGCAATTAGGTGAATGCTTGGGATTCGGTGATAATATCTCGGCAACGGCTCCCCGGAGTCATCTGAGTCTATTTTCATGATTGCCTAATTGGGCCTGTAATGAAGCACGGCAAGCAGGCATCGCGCAGTTACGAGCTTTGATGCGAGCACTTCGGCTCATCGGTATTTCGGCAAAGCCGAGTCCATTCAAAGCATTGCTAACTAGAACTACAAAAAGTCTTGAATGTTCGGCATACAGAACCATACGACAGAATGGTCTGACCAGTTGGCCAGCAATGGCATGGGTTTCAGAGAAAGTCTTTGAAGACGACACAGTAAACAAACAGGGCCCAATAGCTCTGCGTCTTTTTTTTTTTTTTTGGCTTCATGCGACTCGAAAATAGCTCCGGCCTAAAATGCGAAGCGGTAGCAAGTCAGGCCTAAGTCACCGTGCCGAGGAAACAAATGTCCAAGGATGAGCATGTTCTCATCTGTACCGTACTTGGATTTCTCAAAAAACTGAATGCTACCGTAAAACACAGATGTAACGCACAAGTTCACACGTGTCATTCTTTGTGTCTATCCAAGGTAACGGGAGGTCGGGTAGTCTATACAACGCAGACGCAAGCTTCCTGTCCTAGAGAAAGCCGCGTGGATTGTGAGACAGTTTTTTGACGGGAGGCCTCGCGTGCAAAAAAAAAAAAACCTCGTGTGCCGGCACCGAGAAAATCGTGCCACTGGAAAAGCAAGGAACTGACTGACTCAGAGGCAAATCCATACACAAGAAAAACGGAAAGCACCCGAAAAGAGAGGTTGACCGAAATGAGTGAGGTAACCGATGCACTTTTACCAGACTCTCCAAAGACGGATAATATCCGTCAAACAAACTCTTGGTGTTGTTGATACAAGCATTTAGGCCGGTGTTCGATTATTCATGAATTTTCACCCCTAGCTCTTCTATTGTGGCAGTCAGCACAAATGGCAGAGACCTTCTCCCTTTGTCTGTCCTTCCGTAAAACCCGGCTCTCTGCATGATTACTGAGCACGCGTTTGGAGCACTGTCCCACGCAGTGGAACTGCTTCCGATTGTGCAGGCTTCCAAGAGTAGTACTTATTTTCGACCCTGGCCCTCCCATGTCTTTGCCACTTTACCCAAGCCTTCTTGACTTGCTTGTATAACATCTGACTTTTTCTTTACTTCTTTGGACCGGATCAAGATTATTTTAAAACTATCAGGTCAAGTCCAGCCAATTTAATCAGAAGCTTTGCACAAAGGATCGAAGTCTCATTTCCCCATCTTATTAACCCTCTAATACTGCGCCAAAAAAAGATAAGACTAAACCAATGCTTCCATTCCACATTCTTGCAGCCTCTGTGATTTTTGCGCTGACTACAACAGCTACATCCGGAGCAGGAGATGTCACTCTAGGCAACGAATCTCAACATGGTGCAAGTATTGGTCATCAAAGTGAAGGAGGATCCATGCAAATGGAAGGCCACATGCATGCAATGGATTCCATGGCTGAATCGTCCAACTCCTCCGATCTTATTCCGGTGCCACACAGACCAAAGCACAGCCACGGGATGTCCATTATTTATACAGACTTGCTACCTGAAGAACGCCTCTTTTGGGATAACTATTCTACGGAAACTTTTTTCACCACCCAGTCCAGCCACCGCGGTGCCTTGTACACTCACATTGCATCATATGTGGGTTCCTTCTTTTTTGTGTTTCCTTTTGTACTTGTTTTCTGGAATACCCATCACGCGTTGTTTCTTCCGGCATTGACGGTGCACACAGCACTCGTGGTAGTTTCTTCATTCAATTTCTGGGTTTTCAGCAGTTCTGTCAGAGATGGATTGTATCCGCATAGTGCTTTCTCCACCATGACTGTCTTGTTGTTTGTGGGTTCCCTTGTCCATTGGTTAATTGCTCTTTTTGCCCTGGGGTACCGCGCCTTGAACTCCGATATTGAATATAAGTACGCGGAATTGGAGTCGGACGAGGAAAGCCTGTCGCTTAATTCTCCTTCACTTACTTTGCGCGGTTCTAGCGTGCGCTTTGATTCTTTTGAGTTGGAGGATTTTGATCGTTTTCCTCGCGACGGACACTTACAGACGTCGAACGACTCCATGATTCGTCTGAGCCCCTCCCGCTTGTCTCACGTCCTTAATCGTTTTCCTCTTTTGAATAGAGCCACGCATGTTTTTGGAAAGGTGGCACTCTCAACAACAGGTCTCATGAACTGGGCGCTGTTTGCATTCTTTCTCGTGTACTTTCCCACTGGTATCGCGACTTATCTACTCTACGGTCAAGACGAGTTTAAATTCAACTTGCTCGCTCACTTTATCAAAGGTGGCGTCTTCTTCGTTCTTGGTTTGGTAACCTTAGCTCGTTATTGTGGCGCCTTCAAGAATAAAGGTTGGGCTTGGAACCATCGTTTTGTGACAGCTGCTAAGGCGTCATCTGGATGGCTTAAATGGCAATCAAAGGGTCTTTGGACCATGGAAATGATTGAATCAAGCCTTATCTTATTTTACGGCTCCACGAACATATTTATGGAGCATATGGCCAGTCCTGATGGTAAGTGGACAGCTAAAGATCTTCAGCATGTTTCGATTGCCTTTATTTATTTGGGTTGCGGTCTTTGCGGTGTTTTATTGGAAAAGATTTTGGCTGACTGGAGGTTTTCCAAATCGCTTGACAACGCTTCTCTGGTCGTCGAAAGCAAGAAATTATCCACGGTTCAAAAGGCAACTCCGGGATTCTCTCCCAATCCATTTCCTGCTTTGACTATCTATTGGACTGGTGTTCTCATGTCCCTGCATGAGCAAGCATCCAGCTTGTCCTCGGAAATCCATAAGCAATGGGGAAACATGTTTGTTCTTGGTTGTGCATTCCGTGTGGTGTCCTATTTGTATTTCCTCCTCAAACCACTGGACGGGAAGGCATTGACTAAGCCTGCGCATCCTATCACGGAAGTGCTTGTCTCGTTTTGTTTGCTTTCTGGAGGGATGATATTTATGGAGTCTTGTGACTCTGTGGTGTACCTGTTGGAGTACTATGGGCTCACGTCAATGTTTACTTTGAACATATGTTTAGGTATCGCAGCTCTTATCATGGCATGGGTTATGGCTGTGTTTTACATTAAAGATGCGTTCGTTAGCCGCATGTCTCATCACAGATCATCAGTGTGATCGTTTTGGTGGATTCACATTTCATCGAATGTTATCATACTTTCCTTAATATACTCTTAAGTACTTCTATTTGTTATTGATAACTTCATGAATGACTGCAATTTCACTGGGACTTGTACTACAGCAGCCCCCAATAACACGGATGTTTGGCACGGTGAGCCATTCTTGGACCGCCTTTCTCCAACCATCCCTATCTGAAAGAAAGCCATACTTGCTTGGGTCAGACATGTCGTTATTGAATCCTAAGTTTGGATAAACGATGAGATTTAACGGCTTAACGTTGCGTTTCTCACATGCTTTGTTCACCGTCTCAGCGACTCCTTTTACGATCTCGTACGCCACACAGTTACATCCTGTGCCAACAAAGTATTCCTCGACATGACCAGCCATTTCTGAAACCATGTAATCAACAACCTCGCTTAAAGGTGTTCCGTCAGCAAGAGTGAATTGATCCTTGCAACTGAAGTTTAAATAAAACTGTTTGCCGTATGTGTTTGAGTAAAGGCTCTTTACCAACTGAAATACACCCTTTACTTCGTCGAAGTTGGGAATTGTCTCAAAAGCTATAACGTCAACATCTGGGTTCTCGACAAAATACTTAACCAGTTCAGAGTGATAGTTGGCTAATTCACTGGAGGACATACCATTGTAGTCTCCACTGTACTCTGCCCCATTCGCCAAAAATGCCCCGTATGGACCAATGGACCCAGCAATGTATATTTTATCCGTGCGGTTGGAAGTATTGATCGCTTCTTTCGCACAGTCCACCGACCTCTGCCACGTCCTGTGAACGTCTTCTATAGACATGTTTGCATGTTTCTCCAAAGTGAGCATGGATGCTTGATAAGTGGATGTGATGAGCATGTCACATCCCGCATCGACATAACTTTTATGGACTTGAGTGATCAACGAGGGCTCGCCCAAAAGCAATTTAGTTGACCAGAGAGGCGAACCCTTCACAGAAAGCGGGTGATCCAATGGAAGGATATTTTCGAGTTTAGTACCCATTGAACCATCCTGAATTAATATTTTTTCAGCAAGTACTTGTTTTAATGACATATTATTGAGCCTCAACGAGATATTGAGTGAAGAAGTGCTTGGATGTGACATCGCCTTGCTGCGTTAGCCTGCGTATAACGCTAAATGAAAGACAGGGCGTGTATGGAGCGAACGGATAGACAACAGACTGCAAAATTTCAAAACCCATGTTTAATTATAGATATATAATACCTCATATATTTGATGTCATGTAAAAATTTCCGATTGTTGTTTTGAGAAAAATTTTTGGGAATGAAGAAAAGGGGAGTAGTTTTCAAAAGACAAAACGAAGAAGGTTTTTGTAGAAATTTACGAACTATCTTTCTTTTTTTTTTTTTTTGCCAAAAAGCATCACTCAGGTCATTCAAAAGGTAAACTTCAGTCGTATACTTTATTAAACACACGTATCAAAATTGTATTAAACGACTTTTCAGGAGAATTTCTCGAACCGATTTTTCAAAACTAAAACAACCAAAAGACCAGACCTGCATGTGCTTTGGCCTATGGTGCGAACCTCACCAGAATTCGAAACCATTCAAAGTCAAGGTGTGAATAAAAACAGTGTCAAGAATGGAGAACCCTGCCAAGAGATCGAGAGATGACTTTCAACAGTCATCTGGAGATGCGTTTAATGAACATGACGATTTTTCAAAGAGAGCTCATGCAGACCCCACCGCAGAACTTATCACTAACATCTGCAAAGATATTAGAAGGATCGGTGAAAACTCGATTTTGGTTAATCAAGTTGACGATATCTCATACATTTCGAACCCAATTGTTGCTGAATTCGAAAAAATTGACAAGTTGCGTGAAGCAGTCTTGTCTACCTTTCATGCAGTGGTCCGTGAACAGCCACAAAAGATCCCCAACATTTGTGTGTTGATTTTCATTTGCAATGCTAAAAACTTTTTGGTCGCCAAGTACGTCATTGAATATTTCCACGCAAAAGCACAGGAACTGTTGGATCTGTTGAGAGGCTCCGACGAAACTATGGCCGATTCAGATGAGAAAGTAATCAAGGTTTCTGAGGACGTTGAAACTGCTGGAATTTTCAACGATTTGAAGTCCATCTTCAAGTTTTTGGCCGCATTGTCACCAATTATCGAAGACAATTCTGTTGTAAACATTTTCAAGCAGTTTTTGAATACTGCCATTGATTTACAAAATTCGTCGACAACACGTAGTGGTTTGGCCGAGGAAATCTTCTACAATGTGCTCGTGGCTACACCATACTTATTTGCAAATGACTACTCATCACTGACGATGAACACTGCAAATGATTTACTTGAATTGGCTCACAAATTCACTGTTGTCGAGAGTGATACTTCCCGGACCATCTCAATTTTGGAGCCTTTCGACTCTAAAAACGCTAATTTCATTGAGAACATGCCATACAAGCCCCAAAAGATTGTCAATTTGATTTTGCCAGCACTTGAGTCCTTGCAAGGACCAGACAAAAATTGGGCTACTTTAGAACTGTCTCTCTTTGTAAATTTCAGAGAGCTCATCGAGCCAATTATCGCGAATGCACTCCAAAATAACGCCATATCTTCTGAGATTGTCAAGCACACCTTGCCTCAATTGGCTATTCCTGGGGTGGAAGACTTGAAGCGCTACAAACCAGTAGGATTGATTGACAACTTGTGGTTCGAGCACCCACGTGTTCTATTTCAAGTATACAACACAACGACCTCATTTGAAACAGTTCCACCTATTGAATCTTACATTGGTTTGTTTTTCAAAGATATTGCGTTTGACATCTTGACGAACATGTCTTTCAATCAGAAGGAAGCCTCGATTCAATTGTCAATCTTAGATTTGTTTTGCTCAAGAGATTTATTTAGTCCACCCGGATCAACAATTGATCAATTATCCCTTATTGCGAAGGACAACGAGGCCGGAGAAAACCAGCCCCCACTCTCTACTTGGAAAGTTGAAGACGTGGCGGTCGAGAGTATTTTGACAATGATTTTTCAACTTCCTAAGTCATTGTATTCTGAAATCTACTACTACACAGTGCTCATTTCATGCTGTCGTGAAAGCCCCGAGTCTATTGCCCCAGTCTTCGGAAGGGCCATTCGTTTCTTTTACAATAACTTGGAGATGTTTGACTACGAACTGAAAATCCGTTTCATGGATTGGATGACTACGCAAATTTCGAACTTTGATTTTAGTTGGAAGTGGGATGAGTGGGTTGCTGATTCAGTCAAATACTCAAACTTAACTTACCACCCGAAAAAGAATTTTATCAAGAACTTGATCGCGAAGGAAATCCGATTGTCAAACAAATCTCGGATCAGAGACAGTTTTGTGACCATGACACAGGGGGAGGACGGAGAGAGCCAAGTGGTTGCATTGACTGAATTTTACAAATACTTGGACTTATCTTTGTTTCCGGACGCGCTCAACTACATGATCAACTACGATGTGAGTCTATACGGTGGGGACAACGAAGATTTGAAAAACATCATCACCACATCAATCACGAACAGAGCTCAGGTTCTTAAAGATAATCTGGCCGTGACAGCTCAAGAAGAGCTAATTTATGAATTTTCGAACCCACAAATGCCTCTCAACGAAGTAGCGAACAAGCTCTACGACTTTATCATTGCGAATTGGAGATCAAACGAACAATTTAACGACATGGTCAACGAGACAACCGAGGCAATCAAATCTTCGGTCGTCAATGTTGATACCGAGAAAGTTTTGATCAATCTTATTTTCCAAACTTATGCCTACATTGGATCCAGATCTATCTACTCCGTGGTGAGTATTCTCAACCGAGATATCGCTAAGTTGAAATACATCAGTGGTATGACTGTTACAGAAGAAGATTACAGAGTCAGTGGCAATGACTTCACTTTCCCTGAGTTGACCTTGACCCAAGAGCATATCAACTTGAGGCAATCGTGGATCGTCGATTCGATTTTGAGAATCTGGATACATCAACCTCAAGTCGCCTTTTTGATCTTAGAGTATTTAATTGAGTTTCAAATTTTGAACCCTCAATTGCTTATTCGCAAAGCTCTTGATGTTGACCATAATCTCATTCTTAACAATGTGTCTTGTATGGAGTCCATGAACAGAGTATTGAATGGAAGTTCCAAGAGCGAAAATTTTAAAGACGTCATCCTTTTGTTATTCAGCCTCATTGTACAAAACTTGAATGTCACACTCGAAAAATTATCGCCAGAGGATCCAGCGCAAAGCCCCGTGGCGATTACGAAGGACTTTTCTGACGAGGACAATCAAAATGTTGAGCTTATGCAAAGGATCGATTTACAATGGCTCTTCTATGAATACAGAGGGCTATTAAAAACATACGTCAGAAAATTCAACAAAGAATACGCTTCTTTTGAAGATGACGTGAAGTCGTGCTTTGAAATCATCGAAAACGAGCCGGTGAAGACAGACGCTCTCAGGTGGGTCGAGGAATTGAAATACTAAGTATATATACGCTGGTTGAATGAATGGGGACTGTCCAATCAGTGCAATCCTGTGTTCTATGATCAATCCAGGAGTAATTAATACAAGATATTACAGAATTACGAACTTTTTCAGACTGAACATAAAACGCGCATTCCCGAAGGCCTGTGATATATCCGACGTATATTGTTAAAGCCGCTTCCTGCTCGCACAGAATCACATGTACATTCACGCCACCTACTGGCCACCTGCACGCCACCAGCACGCCACCTGACTTGTCTATATAACTCCGGATTACGTTTTGGTAATCAAGGGAGATAATTTCGAGGAACAAGCCGAAATGTCACAATCAGAATATGCAATTGAGACCACAAATCTCACATACGTTTTCGGCAATAAGAGAAGGGGATTGGAGGATATCTCTCTCCAAATTCCATGGGGCAAAACAAACTTGTTGGTAGGCCCCAATGGAGCAGGCAAGTCGACATTGCTCAAAATTTTGGCGGGAAAAACCTTAATCAAACAAGGGAAGCTTCGAATTGGTGGATTTGATCCCTTTGAGTTTTCGATCAACAGGAACAGCCACGAGAACGCAGACATCAACAACTATATATCATACTTGGGGACAGAATGGGCAAATAACGAAGTGGTAAAGAGAGATATTCCTGTGAAGCTCCTTATTTCTTCGATTGGTGGAGAGATTTATCAGGACAGAAGAGATGAGCTCATCCGTATTCTTGACTTAGACCCAGATTGGTCCATGGCATACATTTCTGACGGAGAACGCAGGAGAGTCCAGTTGGTGATGGGCCTTCTCAAGCCATGGAAGTTGCTTTTGCTTGATGAAGTGACCGTTGATCTTGATGTTATTGTGAGACAGAACCTTCTAAACTTTTTGAAGAAGGAGTGCCGTGAACGGAACTGTTGCGTTATCTACGCTACGCACATTTTTGATGGGTTGGGAAGAAACTGGTGTGACAGAGTCATTCACCTTAATGAGGGCCGCAAAACGGACGATATCGATATCAGTAAAATCAATTTCGAGAAGGATATCGATGGTGTGAAGATACACACGAACGCTAGTAAAGAGGTTGAAATGATCGATGTGGCCTTAGCAGAGTCTCTTCACCCATTGGTTTTGCAGTGGCTCAAGGATGACTTAACCATCAGGGGTTCCCGTGAAGAAGAGCAAGCCAGGATCAGGCACAAATTGAATGGCTGGGACAACGCCAGAGACGGTCATTATTTCGATAAGGATGCGAAGGTCAAGGACTATTTCAAGGCTACGAGAAGCAAGCAGGACTGAGCAAAAAGCACACTGTGAGTGTTTTCTACAATGGAAAATAATTAATCAAATTTAATAAATCCTCACTTCGATAGTGCTATTTGAATTAACAAACAAGAGATATAAATTGTACAGCATCAACACCGGTTCCTTTGAATTCCAGGATATTTCCCCAGTCGCAGAAATTTGAGCCTATCAAAGGCTCAAACACTTCGATGTCCTGTCCGACTGCAAGACGGAACTCAAACACGTATGGGCACCAGTCCCATACACCTAGATTGCCCCATGTATTTAAGTCATCATTGGACAATCAAGCGTGGACAAATGATCGTTCCAACTCGAGAAAATTAGCCAAATCCGTTTGTTCCTTTAAGCGTTTTTCAAGCACCCAAACCTGGAACTTGGATTGTAATAGTTCTTTTTCATATGCCTGTGGAGGTATCGAGACATCCATCACAAGCAGCCTAGGAAAAGCGGGTTCTGGTTTGGCCGTGCTAGTCTTTTTGTTCTGGGTTTTCGAGGGGACCAAAGGAGTAGTTGGAGCTCTTTTTCCAGACTTTCTGGGCGTACCAGGGGGAGGAGACTCATTCATGATGTCTGTATGTATGACTGTTTACAATGGAAAGTCCACACATGAGTCCTTGCGAGATGTTTTGATGCCGCGGGTCACGTGACGCGAAAGGGTTTCTGGCTTGGCTCTTTTACATGGACAAGACAACAGGTAGACGTGAGATGCCAAGCCCGCAACAAGCCAGACTCATCAATTTGGAACGTCTAATAGAGCCTTTTAGGTTATACAATATCTATCTTAGTCATGTGAGCAGCGACGAAAGTAGCACAGCGTTACCCAAACCGCGCACGTGCTCCCCGCAGGACCCGGCGTTACCCGCCTCAGCTACTCCAATACTATTCCCTTTTTATAGATAAAGTTGCAGCTAGCTCAAGGAGCAATTTTGTCTGGTACTCCCTGTATTTCGAAGACAAAGTCTGGATTTTGCTCGAATTTACCCCGCAAATCATACGTCTGAGAAGCCATGACTGTGGGGGAACCGCTGCGCACGTGACTGAAATTTGAGGATGCGCGTCGGCGCCGGCTGGTGATGAAGAAATTTTCCTCCATTGCATCTTCTTTTCTGACCATCATTCAAAATGTCTAACAACGAGAGAACTTTTATCGCTATCAAGCCAGACGGTGTCCAAAGAGGATTGGTTTCCTCCATCCTCTCTAGATTCGAGAACAGAGGCTTCAAGTTGGTCGGCATCAAGTTGTGCCAGCCAACCGAGGCTTTGTTGAGAAACCACTACGACGACTTGCAGGAGAAGCCATTCTTCCCATCTTTGTTGTCTTACATGTTGTCTGGTCCAGTTTTGGCCACTGTCTGGGAGGGTAAGGACGTTGTCAAGCAGGGTAGAGCCATTTTGGGTGCCACCAACCCATTGCAATCCGCCCCAGGTACCATCAGAGGTGACTTCGCCATCGACATGGGCAGAAACGTTTGCCACGGTTCTGACTCCGTTGAGTCCGCCAACAAGGAGATTGGTTTGTGGTTCAAGAACGAGGAGTTGGTTGACTACAAGCCAGCTTTGCTCTCTTGGATCTACGAGTAAGCGGTCGTCTGGGCACTGCGTGTATTGATCTTTCAGTTTCAGTGACGGGAGCTTCAGTATATATTCGTCAATACAATTCCATTAGAACTTGCAATTCATTAGAACTTGCAATGATCGTAGGAGATATTTTGCACACGTTTATCGCTTCGATATTGTAGCGCAAGCAGACCTTGGCACCCCAGGGTCTTCAATAGAATGGACGTGCGTTTTGTGCAGAAGACCGTATTCGAATGTTCCCCCAACTGCCAGTACGTCAAACAACTCGGCCGTAAACATGACGGGATGGCCTGGCGGATAAAGTTTCAACCCCTCGAGAATAATATACAGCTAGTATTTGGGTCCCAGTTGGGTCAAGGCTTAACCTCTGGTGCTTTTCATACGTACTGCAGGTGTGCAGACCTGACATGCAGTTGACTGTAAAAACAGTTCACAAAATTTGTAATAATTATGTGGAGCCGCCTGATCTTAGCTCTTCAAGGCACACACACTTCGGTTTTAGCTCTTCGACGCAACAATTTATCGAAGCTTTGGTGTCTGGCTCATTCTGACCGAATAATCCAAGACCCATTCGCAGTCGCGTCCCCAGGAACGGCGCCAGACTGAGTCTCGCGAAACTCAAGCATTGACTTTACGAAAGAACATCAACACTCGGCCACAGAACCAGCAGCTGGGTACAGTACACTCACAGAATGTCAATGAATGATGATCTCTTCAATGACGATGAAAATGACGATTTACTTGACGAAGGGCACGATGAACATGAAGACCATAACGAGGAGAACGATCCTTCAGACATGGAGGTAGATGAAGACATGGAGGTAGACGACGACATGAATGTGGACGAGGGCAAGTCTCATGAGCGACATGACATGGATGATCACGATAACCAGAACAATGATGATGGAGAGGATGATGACGAAGAAGGCGAAGACGAAGAAGACGAAGAAGACGAAGAAGACGAAGAAGACGATGGCGAAGAGGACGGCGAAGAGGACGGCGAAGAGGACGGCGAAGAGGACGGCGAAGAAGGGGAAGATGCCGACAAAAGAGAGGATCAGGTTGACGGTGGCGAAAAAGACCGAGACCAATCTCGAGAAGGCGGGCAATCCCTGGAACGTCATGGATTCAGCACGCATAGATCTGATACTACGCGGACGAGAGAAAGTTTTCTGAATGGTGAAAATAGTTCTGGTCGTGTAGACACAGACGATAAGGCTCCCGACTCTGTCAAGAACTCTTTGCCCCCATCTTCAGAAAAAGCCGCTGTGAAAATAGATGGTCTAGAGATACGAAGAAAGGCACTAGAAGCTGTCCGCGCAGCATCTGAGTTTGATATTGTTCCCATGGTGGCCATGCCGCAAGCCCAACAATGTCACGCTGTGGCCATTTCCGAGGGCCCCAAATGGCTTCTCACTGGTGGGGAAGATGGCTTTATCCGAAAATATGATTTCGCCGCATCGATCGATGGAAAAGCCCCGCTTACCGTCGCTCAGAAACACAATCTAATGGACAATATTACCAAGGCTGGAGTGATTGGCTCGTACTGGGAGAATGAGCAGCCAATGACCAAAAGCGAGATCATCAACCAGAACCCAAAATTGAAAGACTCTGACTTCACTACAGGCTTCGCATCTTATGAACCAAAAACAAACCCTGTTTACTCTTTGGACGTCGAAAGAAATGGTTTATGGTGTCTATCTGGTCTACTTCTGGGAGGAATCTCGCTTTATACCATGATATACAACGAAGGCGTGATGCATCACTATTTCCAACACGATCGCAAAAAAAGCCACGAACCAACCTTGGACTCCGGCCATCTGGACGCGGTCTCGGTGCTCCGTCTAAATTATGAGCAAAATTCATTCTTATCTGGGCTGTGGGATAAATCCATTCGTGAATGGGATCTCAATACAGGAAAAACTAAGAATTTATTCAAGGGAAGTACTGGTCAAATTTCTAGCATTCAATACAGGCCTGTCGGCTTGACAGATCTAACATTTGACGAAGGAGAGGGGAATAGTGATGTCGATTCACTTTTCGGCAGTGAGGAGGAAGATGAAAGCGGGGATACCGGGGACGCCAATATTTCAAGGTCTAGCATAAAGGCTGATCCTTCCAAAAATAAAATGATCACAGAGGATAAGATTTTCATGAGCTCCAGTATAGATGGTGCAATCAACATCTGGGATGCGAGAATCTCAGGATCTTCTGCAGTGCTCAAGCTTGGTGTTCCTGATGGCACCCCGCCATGGTGCATGGCAGCAAGTTGGTCCAATGATGGAGATAAAATCTATGTCGGAAGAAGAAACAGTACAGTCGATGAATTCTCTTTACGCATGCCACATGTGAGCAAATCTGGAAATGTCCTGTTGCCAAATGTCCTGAAAAGACTCGCGTTTCCTAAAATCTCAGGACCTGTGAGCACACTCTCTGTGATGCCCAATGATAACTTCATATTTTGTGGCTCCAACGATAATATCCGTCTCTATAACTTGAAGCTTTACGATGAATTCACCCAAGAAACTGCCACAGCAAAGAAACGGGCCACTCCATTTCACGTCATCCCAGGCCACCATGGCGGAGTACTCAGCAATCTTATTGTTGATGAAACCGGGCGATTTTTGATCAGCGCGAGTGGAAACAGAGGTTGGGGACAATCTCCATACGCGGATGTTGTTTTAGTCTACTCCATAGATACTGAAGCTTCACAACAATAATGGAGTGCGTGAAGGCTAACCAAATACCTACTGTGTGCGGGAAGTTGATGTCCCCACAAAAAGGCATTATCCACTCAGAATAAAACAAAGAGCGTTCTGTTAATGGTTATTGTCACTGCTGAAAGCCCATCGTATAAATCGACCTCTTGATTGAACCCAACCCGACTTGTGTGATATCTGCCAAGTCTTTTACAGGGCCGAGCTCTTTGATATTTGTGACGGCCGAGCTCAATCTGTTTACAACTCTAATAAAGTTGGTCTCTCCAAAAGTTTCCACATATCTTGCAGCAGTCTGAAAAGCGCTTTTTGTGGAGAGCTTGAATAAAGCCCCGAATTCCGATTGCTTCACAAGGAAGTGGAGTATGAAGCCCAAAAAGCCAATCGTCAAACTAAGTTTGTAAATTGATAAACCAAGATTTATTTTTGGCCAATGTCTATTCCGATCGCCATCCCCCTCTAGAGATGTGATTTTCTTTAAAAAATTCGAGGGGCTGTTGATCAATGTTTCATTGAGACTTGAAGACACTGCCTTAAGACTCATAAAAGAGGAAACAAGGCTCAGTCTTGAGCTCTCGGCATCGCCAAATTCTGAATTAACCAAAGTCGCAAGAGAGTCTACCTGATCAAATGCCTTTTGCAAAAGTCCTGCTTCATGTAGAAGCTCTCCTTGTTGTTGAGATTCTTGAGTGGCAATAAGAGCTTTTATTTCATCAGGATTAGGTGTTTGCGATACAAGCCCCCGCAAGTACGGAACACGCCGAAGTCTTGACGATGTCATGATGACAGAGTCTGAATTGAAATTTTTGAACCAAATGTCGAACGTCTCACTAGAATTCGGTAGACACTCAAGGTCATGGTACTGTATTAATTCAGCCGCGCTTTGCAATACCTCAATGAATGTAGACTCATTCAAATTCGAAAAAAGGCTCGCAGGCGAGAGAAGGGAATGTGCAAGATCGGAGTCAATATTTTCAAAATCACAATTATCCTCTAGCCCCAATTCATCCAAAATAATAGACTTGTAGTGTATCAATATAGCAGCGTATATGTACACACTAGCAGTTATAGACCCATGTCCTAGAATGAAATCCCACGCAAGTAAAAGTAGATTTCCATTGGTTAAGTCATGACTGAATAGTGTTAAGATGGACAGCAATGCTGGGAGGAACTTGTAGTCGTAGTACATGCCATCCGTGGCTATGTAATTGTTGTTTGCGTGTTTCAAAAGTTCAAATAAGACCGGCTCGGTATTCTCTATCAAAAGCGGGATGAGCTTCAAATGGTTAGTGGTGAGTGAAATGTCTTGAATCATATAATCTCGCAAGTGATTGATGGTCAATGCCTCCAAGATACAAAAGGCGTTTTCATCGGAGCTTTCGCGTCCTTCGTCGCACACCAATAGTACTACACTCGCGATATCATGGTACCCTTGATAGTAATTTAGCGTGGGATACTTTCGTAAAACACGGATTACCAAGCAGTAAAGTCTTTTGCGCAATATATCGATATCTTCCGTTGTAAGAATGGTCGTGTATGAAGATTGTCCTCCCACATTGAACGAGTGGTATTGGCACATCTCTGTGAACAGCCGTTTGACATCAAGCATAACTTGTGCCTCATCTTTATGAGGGGGCAAATCGTTCACCGAAAAAAGACCATGGTCAGAAAATTCCGTGTGAGAAAATTCTGAGAAGACTCCGATTCTTTCCCCAGCACATGGAGGCAAGCATGCAATAGATTGATCGAGTTGGCCTCTAGCGAGTTTTGTGTCGGTAATGGCTTCAAGCCCCAAAAAATCCGAGTAGGCTGCCACTCTGTCCGCTTCATAAATTGAAGCACTCGAAGAAAAAGTCAGTTGTGGTGCGGATGCTTGATGTTGCAGAACACCAGATTGAAAGTTGTCATCAAGCAGCTCAGAGTCCTCCAACACAGTTTGCAGACTCCGAGTTTCTGAGTATTCGGCCGAAGACACGTTTTCTCCCACGTCAACTAGCAGATAATCCAATGCTGACAGGGTCATTGTCCTTCAAAGAATTCCAAAAGTCTTTTTCACGGTTTCGATATGCACCTTATAGCTTGGAGCGTGAGAACCCCCCAGAGTATTTGGCAAGCGCGATTGCGAACACAGTACTGATTACCTGACTGCTGTTCAATTTTATGTAAGAAGATGCTTCACCGTGATCGAGAGAAAAGCTGAGAGTTGTTCGTATTTGAACCAAGTCTTTAGAGTATGTTCCCTTATGCAGTTTGCCTCTTAAAGTTTCCAGAGTCTCCTCACAAGTTCTTTGGAATACTATAGCGTGCTAGGCGACAGTTGTATATTTGAAGTAGTGAGGTATAGCTTTGATTTCATAGAAAAACAGGCTTTCGAAATGGATAAAGGCTTATTGAAGTTTTCGGTTTGTTGTGCAAAGTCTTGATGCGATAAGACAAGCAAAAACTAAGCGCAGGCCCAGGGGCCAGAAAAAAACTCCGCGAATTCCAAGGAGAGCAGGCTGGCAAAAAGCAAAGAAACGAACCTCATGGGCGGTGTCATAAAGCCCGTCTTGATGACAGACTTTGATTGCTGAGATCTAACTTACCTTTAAACTTGAATTTATATGTGTACTTCAGCATGTTTTTTTTTTCCTGACTCATGGGCCCTAGGTCTTCTACCCACTCCTGCTCGCTCGTGACTATCTCCTGATACTAATTTTCCTGACTAATGGAGCTCATACCAGACAGTACATGTCGCGCCCCACATTTCGCCCCGCCATCTCTTCCCATACAATGATTGGCATACGCTCTCTCTTACCATACACTGTCATGTTTCGCGACACAACATCGATTTTCGGCGATTGAAGAAAAATTCCGCTCTCTTTATCTCGATTTCCTCAATAGGGGGAAAGCCGGAATGGACCCGCGGCTGTTATCTATGAGCGGCCATGCTATGTGAGTTTCCGTGGCCTATAAATATAAAGCCCGCGATTTCCTGTCACTGGACAATTTACAAATCATCGAGCGTAGTGAGCAAGCACTTTCCATCTCCAACGCAAACCCCCAGCTTTTCTCCAAAAAAACTCAAAGATGTCATCCACTGAATTGTCCATCGAAATTGACGGCGTACCAACTCTGTTTCATTTTATCTGGTTGAGGGACCATTGCCACTGTTCGGCGTGTTTTTTCGACACCACCAAGCAGAGATTACTCAACTCGGCCACGATTGATGAGAACATCCATCCAGCCAAGCAAGAGTACGATGGAAAAAATTTGTCTATCGTGTGGAGCCAAGACAATCACCTGTCGGAATATCCAGTTGACTGGTTGCGCGTACACGCCTACAATCCTCCACTTATTGCAGGAGACTTAAAAGTAGCAGGTGAGAAGGAGATCTTGGAGCGCACACTCTGGACGACCAGTGAAATCAAAGACGTAATGCCTGTTGTGGACTTTCCCAAGATTATGGCGTCAAGCGACGAAACCGATGGGGAAGAAGCCATCAAAGAATGGTGCTTGAAGCTCTGGAAGTATGGATTCACACTCATAGACAATGTTCCCGTCACCCCAGAGGACACCGAAAAATTATGCGAGAAGCTCATGTATATACGGCCCACTCATTATGGTGGCTTCTGGGACTTCACGTCTGACTTGGGCAAGAAGGACACGGCATATACAAACTTTGACATCTCTTCTCATACCGACGGTACATATTGGTCGGACACGCCAGGTTTGCAGCTTTTTCACCTCTTGTACCACGACGGCACGGGCGGAACGACATCACTTGTTGATGCTTTCCAATGTGCAGAGAAAATGAAGAAGCTTCACCCAGAGAGCTACGATCTTTTGACGAAGATTCCAATTCGTGCACACTCAGCAGGCGAGGAAAAGGTTTGTATCCAGCCAGACATTCCGCAACCTATCTTCAAGCTAGACCTTGAAGGAAACTTGATTCAAGTTAGGTGGAATCAAAGTGATAGGTCTTGTATGGATATTTGGGAAAACCCAGCAGATGTGCCCAAATTCTACCAGGCTATCCGCCAATGGTACAAGATAATCAGCTCCCCTGAGAACGAAATTTTCTATCAATTGAAGCCAGGTCAGTGTTTGATCTTCGACAACTGGAGATGCTTCCACCTGAGAACGGAATTTACAGGAAAGAGAAGATTGTGTGGGGCATACATCAACAGAGATGACTTTGTGAGTAGATTGAAGTTGCTCAATCTTGGCAGGAAGGCCGTATTAGACTCGATCTGAACAGTCGTGTGAAATCGAGCATTTTCGCCGAACTTTATTCTTGGGAGTTAAGCTTCAAACGAAATCGCCTAGTTTTTCTACAGTATCGATGGTGAATCTTTTCATTGAGTATCTAGAACAGAATTTAAAAAGTTTAGCGCCAAAAAATTAGATTTAGAAGTCATGATCAGTGGAAGATAGGAATCTTGTCCCAGTCCCAAGGGTTGTTGAAACGCAACCCCACATCTAGCTTGGAGATGGACTTCAACTCAGCGTCAGAAAGGTCAAAGTCGTTTACCTCCAAGTTTTGCACCAAGCGTTCTGTCTTGTTAGATTTGGGAATAACTGCAAGACCTCTTTGAGTGGCCCATCTCAACAAAACTTGGCCGGCAGACTTATTGTGTGCTCTGGCAACGGACAAAATTGTGTCATGGTCAAACAAAGTGACGCATTCCTTTACTTTAGGGTGATCTAACTCGATAAAAGACTGTGGGCCAAAAGACGAGTAGGCAGTAATAGCAATGCCCTTTGATTTCACATACTCAACCAACCGGGGCTGTTGCAAGTATGGGTGGTGTTCAATTTGTAGAACAGCGGGAGCAATTTCAGCGCCCCTAAGCAAGTCTTGGATCAAAGCTCCAGAAAAGTTCGAAATACCAATGGATCTGATTTTACCTTTCTTGACCATTTTCTCCAAAGCCCGCCACGTGTCGAGCAAAGGCACGTCCTCGTAATGGAATTTGTCGCCGTCACCGCAGTAGAACCCAGGTGGGTACTTTTCCTCAAAGGGAACAAATTTGAAAGCAATGGGAAAGTGGATGAGAAATAAGTCCAAGTATTCGACGTTCAAGTCACCCAATGTCTTGTCTAGGGCCTTTTCAACATTGTCTGGGTGATGGAAATTGTTCCAAAGCTTGGATACCACAAATAACTCATCACGTGCCACCAATCCTTCATCGATCGCTCTGTTGAGTCCCTGGCCAACTTCTTTTTCATTTCCGTAGTCTTGGGCACCATCGAACAATCTGTACCCCACTTTGATGGCATTGTAGATAGTATCCGCGCAAGTGTCGTTTGTCACCTTCCAGCAGCCAAAGCCCACTTGGGGCATTTCGTAGCCCGAGTTCAATTTGATAGTGCTCATTGATCAATTGTGTCGATATCCTAACAACTGTGAGAGATCTAGTAATATAAAGCAATGATTGCGGCTGGCGCGACAATCCATGAATTTATAGGCCTACGAATGCGGGGCATGAGCGTGGGGGACACCTGGCAATGTACATACAGTCCCACGGCAAACGGACTTCTGGACCGCATTCCTAAATTGGAAACCAAACCGCAAGCGCAAGTACCCGATTTTTGAGCTAACCGCGTCTGATGTCCCCCACGCTGCGGAGTGATTTGTAAGCTATTGGCGACATAATCATTTCTCCGCAAAAGCCCAACACTACGAGCTGAGCACGTTGTATATCTGAATTTTCAAACTTCATTTCACATTTCAAATGCTACTTGGACATAGTGTTTTTTTTTTGCCATATGCTTCCTCGTGTGCTTAGTTGTCTCTGTCAGTGCTGACAGATGTTGCCGCAATGTATATCTAATTTGAAAGGCAGATATACCCCACTTTTGAGATAGCTTTTCTTCCGTTTCCTAGAGTTGATGTCTGCGTCGAATAGTAATTTCGCATTCACATCAAACGATTAAAGAGTGAGTCGAGCAATTGTAACAGCCTTTTGTAAAAAAAACCAAGCGAAACAAAAAGTTTTAAGAATCCAAAAACAAATGAATATTTGGGTCGAAACCGATTTGTCAGCTTCAGCATTTGTCGCAAAGAGCAATAGCACGCATACCTGAAGGCATACGCGCTCTAGAATTTAGTTTGGTCCATAAAGAATTTAGTGCGTACGAGCTAGCTTGAATTGAGACAAAGTAGGCCGACATGAATTGCATAGCTTGAAGCTAACCAAAAATTCAAGTTCAGAATCCTGTGAAAATCTCTCGCCGAAAGGAAGCGCGTCGCGGCACGACAAGCACTCGCACAACGTCAACGAGAATACAGATAGCTTTCGAAAAGACAGCCCTTTTTAGTTTGATATTTTCTGAAGAAGGCTATGTGTAAGAAAAAATGGATCTAGTCACAGACAGTATCTTGGTCCTCCCTCTTGCAATTGAGATCTTTCAATACATTTAGTGTTTTGGAAGGTCGGCATATAGTCCTCTCGGACCGCGAATAAATGTAAACAGTGCACGTCGCGCAACGGAATATCAACAACAAGCAACTCACTCTGAACATTGAAGAGAGAAACTAGACCCAAATCCATCACACCGTTAGATTTCAGCTCTACTATAAGCTTGATACCTCAATGAAACAAAATCCGCTCTTCCTCAAGATCAAAAGATCCTCCGATGCATCTCACTTTGACCTCTGCACAAACAATGCCATTTCTTTCCAAGACACAAGATATGACTTCTCGTCTGTTTTCCAAGATCTGATCCCCACGGATTGCCTTCTTCTGCTCATGAAATACTCTGCTACTGTCATGCTCATGGGACCTGTCGGCAGTGGGAAATCCACCAGCTTGCTGGAAATCCTTCGGTTCTTCACCAGCTTGGGTGGAAATGCTAACATAAATGCGTGTGAAGTCAGTAAGAACAGCAGTTTTGTTGATTTACTTGACGCTGCTGCCTCAAGAAAATATTTGAGCTCCATGCCGATTGATAATCAGCTCAAAAAAGTCTCGCTCGACAGTCGGGTCATCCTGAAATTGCTGAAAGAAAGGGGCATGGCTTCGAGCGCACCTCGCGCGTGTTTGCTCGTGAACATTTACTATGATTCCAAGATGCTCTCTATTGTTGACATGATGGGCTCCGAGATTACAGATGTAGACACAAGCAGCTCAGTAACAGCCTCTCACAATTTCCACACGGCCCGTCATCTAACCTTCAACCCAAGGACGGGACGCTCTCAAAACTTGATGACAAACTTGATACTCCGGAGAGTCTCTTCTTCAAACATCAGCTTCATCATGCATTTGGACCAGAGCGGCAATGTGGACTTGATCAGATCTTCTTTATCGAACCTTGCGCAGGTCGTGAGAACCTTCCGCCCAGATCCAGCTCAGTTGTTCTATCCGCTGCGTTCTTCATCTCCAGCATCGTCGATACCGAGCTACGCCAGACCCACTATTTCTTCGGCCAGCCCTAACAATCCGCTGTCCTCATACAAAGTGAGTAAACCAACAAAGAGACGGCTTGCTCCTCCCGCAGAACTGCTTGCGAAATCGGCACTATCACATCGTCAAAGACCATTGGCTTTACAAAAGCGTGGTTCCAACAGCCCAAGCCATAAGTCAACCGAATGGGATCAGCTTCAAGAGACAGTGATCACTCTTCAGCGACAAGTGAATGATCAACGATCACAATGTGTTGAATCTATTGAAACTCTACGCACTCAATTGCATCAAATCAAAAACCACTCTCTTGTCGTCGTTCGAAATGGCCTATCAAAAGCTCGACTTGGCTTAGAAAACATCTCGGCCGAACTCAGAAACCAAGAGGCAATAACTGAAACTCTTGAAAATGAAGTTTGTCAGTTAAAGTCGGAGAAACGTGTCGCCGAATCAAAATTATCGGAAACCTCACAGTTTCTCCTCGAAAAAGAAGCTGAATTGATGAGTGTGAAAGAAACGACTGCAGAAGAAAAGCGATCATTGGCCGCAGCATTTGAGTCCGAAGTGAACCTGATGAGGGAAAAGTATGCATCACTCGAGAAAATTAACTCTTCCTTGGCACAATCCAAGGACTGCTCTGAGAATGAAATTTCTAGACTTCGGAGTGAAAATGAGCACTTGATCCTAGATAATAAGAATCTCACCTCAAATCTATCGCAGGCAACGGAGGAATGCATTTCACTACAAAAACAAATGCAATCTGCGCAAGAACTGAACTCGTGTGACAGAGAATCTTTTGAAAGAGTGAACAGTGAGTTAACGGCGAAAATCAGTCAGATACACGAGCTTGAAGCACATGTTAAATCAAAAGAAGGCATTTTGATCGAAAAGACGGCAGTTTTTAAAGAAGAAAGGCATAAAAATTCGCAAGAAATCGAAAGACTAAAGAAGCAGGCAGAGTCCAAAGAACATGAGTACCATGAAAGAGAACAGGATATTCGCCAGAATATGGAGCGTGAAATTGCAGAAAGCAAGAAAGAAGTGAAAAGGCTTGAGATATTAGTCGATCAGACCAATACCAAATTCAGATCATTAGAAGAGAGTACCAAACTCCAAGAAAGTGAAATCAGCACGCTCAAGGCAAATTTGCAACAAAGAGAACTCGCAATATCTGATTCCCGCTCGCTTCTGGAAAAATGTTCCCAATTAGAGACATTGATCCAAGAGCTCACCGAGAAAGCCAAGGAAAAAGATATCGAACACGAAAGGCATGTAAGTCAGCTCACTGAAGAAATGTCTAAACGGGGGGCGAACTTAGGCTCGCCCAAAAAGATTGTTGAATATCCAGATTTAGATTTCAACAACGGCAACAACACGTTCTCGTCTATTGATGTTTTCGACGATCAAACAGAGTACATGAACTTCTTCAGAAGGCCAGCCTTAGGAAGATCACCCATTGCCAGTCCAACGCGAGCCTTAACAGAGTCCAATGTCCGCGCTACTGTGGAAGGGAAATTGACAAAAAAGTCCAGTCTTGTGAACCTACAACTAAGACCATTAGATCCAGCCGAGCAGGAGAACGTCGGCAAACCATAGGTCGATTGAGAATTTTTGAACACACTATATAAAAAGCACATTGAATTCAGTGAACAGCGCATTTGTAAATGTTGTATTAAAGTATTATACCAGCATAGAGTCGGCATACAGACCAGCAAGGAATATCAACTCGAAAAAAGTCAGCCGAGGCGATGGCAGAACTTGCGTTTACACTGTAGCTCATATTTAATATCAACCTGAGGCCATACTTCAAGGCACAAACATGATAGTACCTAAACGGTTCTCCGATCTGAGTAGAATCTGACCACAGGGCCCATACCCGTAACCTCCACGGTTTTTTCGAACCAACTCAAAAGCAATGCACCGTGTTTAGCACCGTAGCTGGTGGACATGATCTTGTAAATGTATTTGACCAACGTGTCTTGCTGGTCAGAGGATAGTTGAGAGACGAAGGAAGAGAACTCGTGGGTATTATGGTTGTTCTTGATCGATACAAGGACTTCGAAAACGGTTTCAGTGTGTACATTTTTGGTTTTCTCATCACTGACATATGGCGGAGTTTCCAAAACTGCTTGCAAAGCCTGCAAAAACTGCCCCAGGGATAAAGCTTGCTTTACTTGCTGGGCAATAGCGGCGATCTCACTTGGAGTCACAGGAGGAAGATCCGGTACCAAGTCCTGCTTGGATAAGTGGTTTTCAGGCTCCAACGCATCGATGTCAATTCTTCTCCAATCTTCCATTTTTATTCGACAAAACAAAGAATTCGTGGTTTTAAGAGGTTGATTGTTTAACAGGTGAGACCAAGGGCCGAAGATACGGGCTGTGGTTTGTATTGCGCAGGCTCGTTGCCTCTGACTGTGAGGTGCACGGGTCCTGTGGGGAGAGCCAAGGATCTCTAGGCTACGAAAGCCACTTCCATTTAGTTTCATCATTTCTATATGTGGTCGGTGTAGCTTGCTGCTCCTTCAAACGTCAATACATTCTTCCTTTTCTATTCTGTATTCTTGGTGTATGTGTTTGTCTGGTGCATCGCAATATATACTTAGTCGAGACATCTGAGATGGCTCGTCGAGTAGATTTACTTAGCATCCAGCCAGCATGAGCGCAAGTGGCTGAAGGTTTATGTTTTTTGACCTTCCAAAATTCATTGTGTCCTCATGTGCCGCCAAAACCCCGCGTAGTCAGCTCGAGACAGCTATTTGCTATGTTATAATCGAGCAATTTGGGACCTCTAGTTGAAACAGATCCGATCTGTGAGGACAGATTACGACGACTTGGATCTCTTGGTGCTGCTCTCACTAGCCTCGCCTTCGTTGGTCTGGATGTCCTCACCCTTAGTTTCGTCCTTCGCCCTCACAAAATCATCCAAGAACTCAATCACTTTGGACTTCAACTCCAACGAGTCAACGACAAGAACAACGAGCCCATCGCTGCCCACCTCATATTTTATATGCTCCTCGTTTGGAAAAGCCACCTTTTCGTCAAACTTGTCAAAAAAAGCATCGACCTCATCAAAGGTCTGCACACCATCGAGCATTCTTTCTTCCATGTCTCCCTCCGGCGCATCCAGCGAATTCACCACAATAATGGCCCTCAAGGGGTTGTCCAAATCACCATCTTGGTCGGTCTTAAAAACAATGTCGGATTCTTCGGCCATGCTTGCGGTGCTGAAACGCTCAAGAAAGCGCAAGCAGCGATGGAATCTTAGATGATTAACGGTGCTTCTTGAGTGCAGGCAAGACCATTGCAAAAATGAGATATTGCAAAATTGGGACCAACAGCGCCTCCTTGTTTCAGCTACCGCAGATGGATGTACTAGAAAAATATCTTCCCATCTGAATGAGCTAGCTCCCGTTTTCCGCCGGGCGAGCTAGCATGTTCCTACAGTAGACGCTCGTCCTTTCCACGTCAACTATTTATTGAATGCAAACGAAACTTACTACCGCGGGCGGACTGCCAAAGACTGGAGCAGAGCTTCCAAATGTCTCTTCCTCAAACTACAATTTGAACGGCGCATCGCGTGCGGTTCAAGCGCTCCACTTTTTGAACTTGTTGATCAAGCCGTTGGTGGATGGATCGTGGGCAGCAACATCGTCAGAGTTGTCCAACTCCGAGCCAATGACCTTGGCCAAGACTTTGCCCAACTCAACGCCCCACTGGTCGAACGAGTTGATGTTCCAGATGGCGCCCTCGACGAAAGTCACATGCTCGTAGTAAGCGATCAAAGCACCCAAAGCAGCAGGGGTGATTTTCTGGGCCAAGATCGAGGTCGTTGGTCTGTTGCCCGAGAACACCTTGTGGGGCACCAAGCCGCCGGTGGCGCCTTCCTTCTGCACTTGTTCCTCGTCCTTGCCGACCATCAAGGCCTCGGATTGCGCGAAGAAGTTGGAGGCCAACATGCGCTGGTGCAAGTTGTTCTCGATGGGGTTGTGAGACTGGGCGGCGAGAATGAAGTCCGAGGGAATCAACTTGGTGCCCTGGTGCACCAACTGGAAGAAGGAGTGCTGGGCGTTGGTGGCGGGCTCGCCGAACAAGATGGTGCCGGTTTGGTAGTTGGTGAAGCTGTTTCCTCTGGTGACAGACTTGCCGTTGGACTCCATCGACAACTGCTGCAAGTAGGCAGGGAACCTGTGCAAGTACTGGTCGAAGGGCGCCACCAAGTGGGTCTGTGCGCCGAAGAAGTTGTTGTACCACACGGACAACAAGCCTCCGGTGACCGCGATGTTCTCCTCCAAGGGCGCAGAGGTGAAGTGGTGGTCAAAGGCCTCGGCACCCTTCAAGAACGCCTCGAAGTTCTCGTAGCCAATGTAGATGGCCACGGACAAGCCGATGGCCGACCACACCGAGTAGCGGCCGCCGACCCACGACTCGAAGCCGAACATGTTCTTGGTGTCGATGCCGAACTTGGACACCTCGTCCGCGTTGGTCGACAAGGCAGCAAAGTGCTTGGCGATGTGCGCCTCGTCCTTGACCGACAGCAAGAACCAGGTCTTGGCGGAGTTCGCGTTGGTGATGGTCTCGGCCGTGGTGAACGTCTTGGAGGCGATCAAGAACAACGTGGTCTCGGGGTCCAAGCCCTTCAAGGTCTCGGCCAAGTGCGTGCCATCAATGTTGGACACGAAGTGGGCATTGAGCCCGGGCTGCGAGTACGCCTTCAAGGCCTCGGTGACCATCACGGGGCCGAGGTCCGAGCCGCCAATGCCGATGTTGACCACGTCGGTGATTTGCTTGCCGGTGTAGCCGGTCCACGCGCCGGATCTCACGGCGTCGGAAAACTCCTTCATGTGCTGGAGCACGGCGTCCACTTCGGGGGCCGTGTTCTCGCCGTCGACGGACATGGGCTTCATGGAGCGGTTTCTCAAGGCCACGTGGTAGACAGCACGGCCCTCGGTCTCGTTGATCTTGGCGCCGCTGAACATGTCGTCCCTCAACTGCTCGACGCCGGCCTCCCTGGCCAAGGCGAGCAACTGGCTCTTGATCTCGTCGTTGATGATGTTCTTGGAGAAATCGAACAAGATCTCGGACCCGTCATAGTTGGTGAAGGTCTCGGAGAACTTGTCGAGTCTTTGGCTGTCGGAGGCAAACTCGTCCTTGACTTTCAAGGTGCGGCCCACCTTTTCGTAGGTGGACTCGAGCTTTTTCCAGGCGGGCAATTCCGAGGACAAGTTGAACGACGACTGGCTGGACATGGTCAATGGGGTGCTGGTGCAGTGCTTGGGCAAAACTGTTTTTGGACTCTCGGTGCGGGACTAGTGGCCGGTGAGAATGGGGCTTGCGATGTTGTGCTGGGTCAGTATTTTTGGGTACAGTGCCGGCTCACCCTCGCCCTAAATATAAAGATCCACGCGGTCGCAGTGCCGGAACAATCCGCACGTTGCTTAGCGAGCAGGGCCTTGGGGCACCTGGCGACGGGCAGACGTCTGCTCTTGGGTCCTTTGGATTTTTTTTGCTCTGTTGGTTTTTTGGTTTCTTGGTTTTTTGCTTGTTTGGTTTTTTTGCCTCCCCAGATTGATCATCTGCCGCTCTTTTTTTTTCGAAGGGCCGGGCTGGGCCCAGCAGAACTTGCGCTGCTTAATACTTTTTTGTTGTGCCGGAGATTGCTCGCTGCTAAGCCTAGATTCATGCGCTTAAGGCACTTAGTAATGAACGGCCAGGTGACTCAGCAAAATATGAAGCCTCAGGGCGGGCCAGCGAGGCAAGATTTGGCAGGCCCAGCGATGAAAAAAAAAAAAAAAA